AGTATGTGGTCTATTTTGGAGAACGACCTGTGTGCAGCTGAAAAGAATGTGTATTCTGATTTTGTGGGGTGGAACACTCTGTAAACATGTGTTAAGTTCATTTGTTCAAGAGTTCAATTGAGTTCTAGTATTTCATTGCTTATTTTTTGTCTAGTTGATCTGTCTATTTGTGACAGTGGGGTACTGAGGTCCCCCACTACTATTGCATTAGTGCATATATGACTTTTCACGTCCATTAGTATTTGTTTTATATAGTTGGGCGCACTAGTGTTTGGTGCATCGATATTTATGACTGTCATCACTTCCTCTTGGACTGTTACCTTTACAAGGATGTAGTGTCCTTCTTCATCTCTCTTAATCAGTGTTGGTTTGAAATCTACTTAATCTGCCAATAGGATAGTTACTCTTGCTTTATTTTGGGTTCCCGTCGCATGGAGTATTGTTTTCCACCCTTTGAGTTTCATTTTGAATTGTGTTTCTTGTACGCAGCATAGTGTTGGATTTTGCTTCTTGACCCATTCTGCCAGTCTATTTCTTTTGATTGGTGAACTGAGATCATTAATATTGATGGTTGATAATTTACCTTTTTATTCCCTGAAATGTACTGCTTGCCATGTCTATGATGCCTCCAGTTGGCCTGGCCACTGCTCCAACTAAACCTTTCCCAACACCTTTAAAGAAACCAGCTGCTCCTTCTTTTTGAGCCCCTAGAAAGAAAAAAAGATAACTTTTTAGGCAACTGGATCACGACTGAAAATATAATCAATTTGTGAAATATATCACCCAAATGAACTCTTATACTTGCCTTTGATTGGTTTTGTAACAATTCCTGTAATACCACTTACAAAGCCCTAAAAGGAAAGCACAATTGAAAATTTGTATTACTTTCATATGATGCTTGGAAGAACCAAGACTGGATGAAAAAAAAAAGCAGAGTTCTTTTCATATACCATATTAGCATATTTCCTAAGTAATCTATTTAAGTTTTTTTGAAGACCTTGTTTTATACTCACTGCTCTTACAACACCCAAATAACAATTTATCAAGTAAGAATTATGCCTATTTCCTTGATCAGAATGTGGGTTTAAAACCTGTTCTCTATAATGTCCACAACTCTGTGAAATTTCTTACAGAAACCAAGCCTTTTCCTCCACGTGTGATCCCTTCTCTGAAACCAGCTGGCTGCTTATTCATGGCTTCTCTTCTTTTCTGCTGGTAGTCTTCATCCATAGTGATAGCTGCTACACCTTTAGCCATAGCACCAGTGATTTTTGAGGCAGCACCAGCTAATCCACCTAATAGAAATTATAGTATCTTTAGTAAAAGCAAACACGTCATTGCTTTTTACCAACATCAAACTTGGCATTCCATTTCTTACCAACAGCTCCACCAACGAGCGCCTTGAGTCCTAGTGCCATTCCCTCCACAAACTCTTCAGGACCCTGGATAGCTCCCTATAGTGACAAAAGATAATTTTAAAAAGTTGTATTTACTTTTAAAAGTGAATTTATTGATGTAAATGAAGAAAGTGGTAGTGATAAAAGGAATAAAAATGGCTCAGAGGAAGTGATGGTAGCAAAAAATCTTCACATTAAAAAGAATTCTCAGGGATAATTTCATGACAGTAAAAGTATGAAAGACAAAATGTTGGAAGCTGTTTCACACCTGAAAAAAGATACTTGCTTGTTCTGTATTGTAAATTATATGATGAAAAGAAAGCAAGCACTTCAAGTACTCTTGATAAGTAAAAGAAATCAAATAGTTTAAAATTCTTAGTGTTTCTAATATTTTGTACTGAATATTATACATAATATTAGTTTTACCTTATTTTAAATTACTCTATACATTTAAAAAGTGAATAGGTATTTATATACAATGGAGTTCTCTGTAATAAAGAAAGATAAATCTGAGTCATTTGTAGGAAAATGGATGCACTTTAAGACTACAATGTTAAGTGAAATAAATCACATTCAGCTTAAATATCACGTTTCTCTTACATGAGAAACCCAAAGCATAAATAAAGTGAAAAATAAAAGATAACAGAAAATAAGGAAATGGATGTTTTGCAAGTGGGAAAGAAACGAAGAGATTGGGGGGGGGCAAAAAAATTAAGATATGTAGATGTACCAACTTCCCATGATGAATGTAATCATTATATCCTACAAACATACACTAAAAAAACTTTTTTAAAAAAAGTGAAAATAGGAGAGTATCGAATTGTTCTGATGGAAAGTCTAAAGAAATGTCAAATAATCATATTCTTTTCTCCACTGGTTATTAAAATTACTTTGCAGAATACCAAAGTATTATAGTTCCTCATGTCTGTGTAAATCAAGATTATCCATACACAGTGATCTTCCTTCTGTCATAGTCTGAATTGTATCTACATTTTATATTCCAAAAGAACACTTAAAATTCAGTGTAACTTAACAAAATCTTAACCCTCCCATGCCTAGTGTTCCATTTTTAGAACATTCATAACAACAAAATATTAATGAAATTTTTTCTCTTCAAATTCTTGTTCCTTGAAATTTTTGGGGTAATATACATGAATTTCATAAAAAACTTCATAAAAAATTGCAATCTCTGGGGTGTGTTAAATTTAAATTTTGTGTGTTTTGTATTTTGTTTGGTACCAGGGATCGAACTCGTGTCCCTGCGCTTGCACAGCAGGCGGCAAAACCACTGAGCTAAATCCCCAGCCCGTTAAATTTAAATTTTGAGAAAAAATATGTTTCTTCCCAAAGTACCCTCAAACCTTAGTGTTTGTTGAAAAGTAGTAATATTCTGTAATGTTTTTCAAAATTTATTTATACCCACAGCTCAAGTTAACAATAGAAATACATATGTATTGAATAGTATTAATTTGATATATTATACAATGAAAGACAATTATTTTACCTGGTAAGGTTCATAAAAAAATGCCTCTACACCTTCTGAAAATTCTCTAATTAAGCCAAAGGGATTCCCCAAAACATCGAGACCAAGAATGAGTACATACATCTGCTTAATGGCCTAAAAATGAAATATGAACATTAATCAATTTAGATAATTAGACCTATTATTCTTATAGATTATTTAGTACACACATCTAGTTTTCTCAGGCTAACATCTTTACTATCAATTTCAATATTAAACCCATATCACCTTATTCATCACCATTTTTAGTTTAAAGTGCAATCTGGTATTACAGTAAGAGATTCTGTGACATTACATTTATATAAAAATATTGAAAAGGCTTTCACTTGCACAATTATTTATGACAGTTGTTACTACCACTGCCATTTTATAGATTGGGTTAAATGATGTTCAGGGTCACACAGTAGGTATATGGCAAAAGTGGGATCAATCTCAAGTCATGCTCAGCTATTTGTCCATTAGACCACAACTAACTCAGATGCTAAGTTGTATCATAAAATATTAATAAATGGATTTTTAAAAATAAGTGTGGTGAATTAGTTAATAAAGATTTATTTCAAATCCACACTGACCCAGAAAAAATTTCTGACAGTGACAAAAAATACAAGGACAAAATAAAGTTTTGGTTGGGCTCAAGTTTGTTTCTGTAATTCTGAGAAAAAAATTCATGCTTTAGTATTTCGAAGATGGCTATTTGCTTCTATGAAAAATCTATATTGTACATGCATGAACAGACACATAAAGCTTTTTTTTTTTTTTTGGTACCGGGGATTGAACTTGGGTCCTTGTGCTTGCACAGCAGGTGGCGAAACCACTGAGCTAAATCCCCCGCCCACATAAAGCTTTACTAGTCTATGTTATTTTATCCCTTTGTAAAATAATCTCAGACAAACCTGTTTTGAATAGTGTTTTATTACTTCAGACTGTAGTTGAGATGTCGTATGAAACTGATAGTTGAGTTCAAAAAAGGCAAGCCTGAAAATATATAAATATATAAATATATATATATATATGTGGAGAGATCATGAAATCAAGAAAGAGATTAAGCATTGAGGAATGATTTGCTTTTTAAGTTTTTCTCCAAATCTTTCCTTCTAGTAGTTTTCTGTGTACACCTCTGTACATTCTAGTCAAAGTAAGCTCTTGAGTCTAATAAAATTCACGGATCTTACATTCTGAAATGTCATCAACATCCACAAATTTTCATATACCTAAGGGATTCAGAGACCCTTGGGAGTCCATTCATGGACCATTAGAACTATTTCCCAATTCTGTGGCTCATACAGAAAATGTTCAGCATACTGAAGTAAAAAGAGACTGCTTAAGAATGGCCAAGGTTAAGACAGGCATGGTGGTTCGTGCTTGTTACTCAAGCACTCTGGTAGGCTGAGACAAACAGATCAAAGTTTAAGCCCAGCCTGAGCAACTTAATAGCAACAACAACAATAGCAACAATAGCAACAACAACAACAACAACAAGGATTGTGGATGTAGCTCACTGCAATGGTCCTGGGTTTAAACCCCAGAAACACATATATACACACACAGACCAAAAAAAAAAATTAATAAATAAAATAAATAAATAAATAAAATAAAAAGGCCAAGCTTTAACTGCTGCAAGTCCTGCCTACGGGGTGACAGCTGAGGAATCAAATCAGCCTACTTTTATAAACCTATTCACAGCATGTACCTGGATCCAATAATTGGGAAGCTCTATACTTTTTATTGCTGAGTATGAGAGTAGTAAGTTTAGATATCTCATCCTATTCTATTGACATGAAACATACATTCTTTTCACTGTTACATAACTTTATTTAGGTTCAGAGTTAGCTCACAGAGTACTTATTAATTTTCCTACTGTTTTTAATAACTAGGTAGAAAGTCTTTCTAAAAAAGATCATACTTTTCTAAAGTCTTCATCCAGACTACTTGAGTTTCTGGTCAGATATTTGATTAGCTTCCATTATGACTCACATTCAAATATAAATTCTTGACTATGTTTAAACTGATCTCTTTAAATTTCCCAATCAATGCCTTTATTTTGTTCCAATCACACTTTCTTTGAAAAGCTTTGCTCTTATGGGCTTTAAAGCTACATCTTTCAAGCACTATATATCTTTAGGCATACCCTAGGCCAGGTTTTCTAAAAGTATATAAAACTACATAGCCTTTATCTTTTTTTCTTAAGGAAATTATTTAATAATTATTCTGTAGTTTGGGCAAATAAAGTTCTGATGTTATGTTGACTGTATTCCATTTAAAGGAAAAAGCCAAATTTTGCTATCATTTGCAATATACTTTACATACTTTCTCATGTAAAAATTTTTTTGGTAAGTATAAAGGGATTGTTCATCAGTTTACAGATCTGAGTGTTTAAACATACTTAAAAACTACATCTTGTACATCTGTAAGGGTGGCACCAATACTCTTCAGCAAAAGATTTAAAGAATGAAATGGAATCAGTCCTCCATGTTGTTCTGATTCTTTAGCTTCTTCTCTACCCGAACTCAGTGAAACACTTAGATGCAACTAAAGAGATAAAGGGATAAATATTTTAAAGTACTTTTTCATACTGACAATTTTAACTTAAAAAAAAAGTGTCATTTTAAATTCACACCATAACGATTTCAAAGTTAACTGGATTATGTCAAAATTACTAAGTGGAAAGTTAAAAACAAGTTTAAATTCAACATAGCTTTACTTAAATTTTTAATTTAGCAACATGATTATATTTAGTTCAATTCTACTTTTTGATAAATAGGAAAACATTCACTTTTATACATTTGTTAATAATAATATCAACCTAGTAGGTTAAGCTGCTGAAAATAAACATCACCAAAAGTACACATTTCAAATATTAGAATTAAATTAGTATGAAGTCTGTTAAAAAGCACTTTTGCATCATATTGCATACTTATCCCATATATATGATTATGTGATAATTTCCTTCTAGTATTATCAGTAGCTTATAGAAATTGTTTTAAAAATAGATTTAATTTTATTCAATGTGATTCCTAAATCAAATACATTTTATAACTTAAAACTAGTACACAGGATATAGAACATTTTGAAACTTGTTACCAAAATAGTTTTAACACAAAATTAAGGTGAAATAATGTTGGTTAAAGATATAAATATACATAAAAGAATTTAATTTAAAAAAAGATATAAATACACAAACATATGTTGTAGGTGATTGCTATTATTTCCGCATGGTGAAAACTTGTTCAAAAAGTTTTAAAAATATCATTCATTACTTATTTATATTTATAACTTTAAAGCTCCAAGATTTCTACCCTATTAAGAACATAATTGAATTTTTAATTCCACTGAGATCAAATTAATTTACTATTACTTAGATTATCAGAGATAAAAATGAGTTATTTTTTCCCTACCTTGATAGGAGATATATGAAAATATTCATAGAGACTGACTTGCGATTGATCTACTAGTGAAACTGTTTCATATTCTTCAAAAGCTTCTATATCTTTATGAAAAAGTCTAGCCTACAAAAGGAACATAAAATATTAAAATTTGAAAAGTTATGTTTGCATGACATATTTAAGCCAATAGGTCACTCCTTGCAGAAAACTTCTCTATAATATCCAGACTCAACACTGTTCATGACTGAAAGTTACTGAATCATAAGAAAAACTAACATTTTTATTGTTAGAAAAGTTTTGCCTGCCACACACGAACTGAAATGCATGTATTCTATGCTTCCATTCAAATCATTAAAAGACATCAAGCTTTTCTTCAGGTGGCTGTGGCTCTTACTTCAAAAAGCCATTAATCCATTTGATGAACAGATTTGTGGACCTATTTGTTTCTTTAAACATAATCTCATAACCATTTGCAGCAGTTTCTTACTTGCCTCACTGTAGCCTACAGTAACTAATAACATAATATTAAAAAGGAGAAGGGACTGGAAATAATATTGCATGAAGTAATTAGTATTTATTTTCATTCTTGATAATCACTAATTTTTTTTACCCAAACATTCACAGACCTAAATTAGTTCTATGTGTTAAGAAATGGCCCAAGAATTTGAAGATAAATTTACAGAGATTATACAAATCAAAAACAGAGAAACTGGAGTGAAGAAAAATGAACAGAGTCTCAGAGAAACATCTGACACCTTTAAATATATTAAAAGAGACAATATGGGAGAACCAGGAAAAAAGAAAGAAATAGAAAAAGTACTTGAATAATACTTCAAATATTGACTGAAAGATCTCAAAATTATTGAAAATATAACCTGTATGATCAGAAAGCCCAGTGAACTAACTCCAAGTACAATAATGCAAACAGATTCACAATCGTGTTAGTAAAAATGTGAAAGTTAAAGAGAAAAACCTTAAAAACACAGTGAACATAAAAAGAATTCATTATATACAAGTCCAGTAACATTAATGTTGATTTTCTCACAGAAATGAGAAGGGAAGATGGCAATAGATAAGATATCCAAATGCTAAAAACCTTTCTGACATACAGCATAGTTATATCTCAAAATGAAGATAACATAAAAACATTTCCAGATAAATAAAATCTTAGAATTTGTTCCTAGCATATCTGCCTTACAAAAAATATCAGTGGAAAAATTTCAGGCTAAAAGCAAGTGACCCCAAAGTTTAAACCCAAATTAAAAAAACAAAATGCACCAGAAAAAGTAATTATATAAGACAATATAAATGCGTATTTCTCCTTTCTTTCCTTAACTGATTTAGAAAAACAACTAAATAATATGCCTTAAGACTTGAATAAAAATATAAAGCAAATAAACCTAAGTGACATCTATAGAGCACTCAACCCAAGAGCAGAATAAACATTCTTTGGAAGTGCTTGAAGACTACTTTCCAGGACAGATCATATATTACATAGACATAAAATGTACTGTTGGGTTGGTAATATATAGAAATGTAATACAGAAAAACAAAAATTGTATATGAGAAGCAATGGTACACTGGGAAATGAATAAATGGTAAAAAAATAACAATTTATTGTTGGGTTTGTAACGTAACAGATGCAGTATGCATAAGAATGATACCACTAAAAGAGGGAAAATGGTAGAAAGCCACACAGGAGTTACATTTCTATATCTCATTGGAATTAAGCTTGTATAAATCAGAAAAATAGATGCTTTAAGTCCTGGAGCAATCTAACTAAAATCTAATTAAAAATGTTAATAAAAAAACTCAAAAAAATACGGTAAAGACATCACAAAGGAAATTTTTAAGTGTTTCCCAATGTTATGGCTTCTGTCTAGATGTGCCCTCAAACCCTAAGGTGGTCACAGATAGGGCTTTCCAGAGGTGGCTGAGTCTAGGGTGTGTGAATGTGGATTAAGGATATGTTAGTTGGATTAAAGGGAATTAAAACTCCTAAAGAATGTAGAAAACAGTAGAGTTAACACATTCAGTAAAGTTATAAAGAAGAAGATCAATACACAATCAACTGCATTTCTATGTAAACTAGCAACTCAAAAATGAAATTAAGCAAACAAATTTCATGCCTAACACTATAAAAAGAAGAAAATAGTGCTGGGTGAGGTGGCTCACATCTGGAATCCCAGGACTCTGGGAGGCTGAGACAGGAGTATTGCAAATTTGAGCCCAGCCTAAGTAACTTAGTACATTCCTGTCTCAAAATAAGAAGGGCTAGAGATGTGCCTCAAGGTGAAGGCCCTGGGCCCAATCCCCAGTACCACAAACAAACAAACAAACACCACCACCACCATGACCATCTAAAATAACTTAGAAATTAATTTAACAAAAGAAATGTAAAACCTATACTCTGAAAACTAGCATATCCTTTAAAAAAAAATTAAAGACCTACATGAAAGGAACAAATCTCATGTTCAAGGATCAGAATACTTAATACTATTTTTTTACTTTGTTTTATTTTGAGATAGGGTCTTCCTTGTAGGCCAAGAGGCCAGCCATAAAGTAACTATATAGTAACTCAAGATCCTTTCTTGCCTCAGCTTCTTGAGCATTGTATTGATTCCTAGATTCAAAGCAATCTCTATCTGAAAACCACCTGAATTCTCTGAAGAATATGACTTCAAAAATACGAATTTGCCAGGACTCAATATGGATAAAACAATCTTGAAAAAGAACAAACTAGGAGGGTTCATACTTCCTCATTTCAAAAGTTACTAAAAATTAATTATAAGACAATGTGGTACTGGGACAAGGAGGCTCACACACAGTGGAATAAGAATCTCTCCAGATAACTTGTCAAAACTATTCAATAGGGGAATTAATAGACTTTCCAAGAAATGGTACTAAGGACTTGGGATGGGAGACTAGTGACAAACACCACTCCTAAGTTGCTCTAGGCTGTTGGTCTGAATTAATAGGTATACAGCTCCATGAGGAGGAGAGGAGAGACATAAGAAATAGCTAGATTCCAACTTGAGTGAGAAAGTAAACAGATGAACCCCAGAAACATTGGTATTTAGAAAGGTAAGTAAAGTAACAGAAGTAAGGCTTACTGGCATTGAACAAACAGCTGTTCCACTGGAAGTTCCCTTCCCATGGGTAGTAAGAGAAAAACTACAGCATACTCTTTTAAGTGCTGACTTTGATTATGGACAGAGAAATTCAGCCAGGGCAGACATGACACCCAACTTTAGCCAAGTATAATCAGTGATGGGAGTCATAATTCCCAGCACTTCCCTGTGGACCTAAACAGGGTTGGGTCAGGGAGCCATTTTAGAAGCTCCTGTCTCTGCCTTAGAAGCAGCAACAGATGACTTTAGATAGAAATGGGGTCAGAAGCCATCTTCATTAATGTCCTCTGCCTCAACACATGGTGTGGGAGAGCAGAAAAGTCATAAAATGAACTTTTATATGTCCAGGATATAATAGCTACTTCTCTCCAAGGAGGCAGTGAACACCTTCCCTAATCGCTAACTTGTGTCCAGGACAATTCTGACTGATACAAAAAACTAAAACCATGGAACTGGGGCAAAACACCCTACCATTTGGTTTGTGGAAGACTACAGACTCCTGGCTGGGAAAGTCTCAGCAGGATGGCTGGATGGCAGGAAATCCAGCTGGCAGCAGGCATACTAGGATTAGGCCAGGCAGAGGGGAATGGCAAAAAAAAAAAAAAAAAAAAAAGCAGGAAGCAAACAGAACAGTGATTTGAACACTGTGACAAAATGGAGTTCAGTATGTGAGTTTTTTGTAGTGGGAGGGGTCTGAGTCTGGGATCACTGCTGCAGAGACCAGGGAAAGGCTGACTGCCTGTAGCTTTTCATCCCAGTGCAGACCCTGCACTTCCGCTCACCTCTGCTCTCTCAGACACTCAAAGAAAACACGAGAGTGCACAGATACTGGCTAGCCACATGTCCAAGAACATGCCCTGGTTTCTTCTGGAACTTCGGACCACAATCTGGACCTGCCTAACAGCTACACAAGTAAGAGATCTAATGGACAATCCAAATTTTTTTGGCACCCTCCTTCTCACAAAAAAACAGAGAGACACCAAGTGTGATACAGTCCTGCCACTGATAAACCTGCTCAAGTACACATCTATAACTGTGGAGGGGTAGAGCTCAGCCTCCAAACTGCCCTAAACAGTTTCTCCTACCTGGACAGAGGCTGAGAAGGCAAATGCTGGAGTAAAAAAGATTTTCACATCCCTCCTTTCGTCAGGTGGCATCCAACAATATAATCCCAGGAAAAATAGCTGAGTAACTGTTTCCAGTATAAATACTCCCACAAGGAGGAATACTGGACCTGGTTTTGTGTGTGTACATACGTGCATATGTACATATGCAAGTGTGTATGAGCATTAGTTACTGCTTTTGCTTTTATAATGTCTTACCTTGTTTTGTTTTGTTCTCCCACCAAGGTTTGATTCAAAGGGATTGCTAACTGTGCTTCTGCTAATTCATTAATTGTATTCACTCAGTTTCCATTTATATTCCTTTTCCTTCTATTACACCCTCTCAAAGTCTCTTCTCTCTTTCTTTTCTTGTATATAAATATTATTAATAGAGCCTACTTTTCATTTTTATTTTTGTTTTAGTCTTTTTTTCCCTCCAGCATATCCTATATTATTTCTTTTTCTTTTCCTGGGTTAGTGAAATAGTAAAGAACTTTTTAAATAAGTTAAATTATAATGTTGATATACTTCTTTAAATGGTGAATTACTGGTACTTACTTCTCCTCAAAAAAATTGTGCTAGGGCCAGGGATTTAGCTCAGTGGTTTCGCCGCCTGTTGTGCAAGTGCAAGGACCGGAGTTTAATCACCGGTACCAAAAAAAAAAAAATTGTGCTAGAAATTGAACCTGTATTTTGGATTGGGCAAGTGGATGCGTTCAAACCAAAATATAGCCTCAGCCTGGGGTATATCACAAAGAGAAAGCCACTTACTAAAAAGATCTGCAGACCACAGTGGGGATATCCATCCCAACTGATCTGCAACATGTCTTAACACAAAAACACAACAATCATGAGAAATCAGGGAAACAAGATGCATCCAAAATTCTTAACTCCCCCAGACTGATCCCACAATATTTAAGTAGATAAAACCCCAAAGAATGTAAGAAGCTATTTAAAACTATGATATTTAAAACTATGATATTTAAAAACTATATTTAAAACTATGAATGAGATAAAAGAAGACACAAATAAGCAGCTAAATGAATCAATTATTAAAATGATCAATGAGCTCAAAGATACAATTCAATGAATTAAGGAAAACAATGCCAGATATTTAAGACCATTTCAGTAAAACAAATAAAGAGATCAAGGTTTTGAAAAAGAACCAAACAGAAATCCTGGAGATGAAGTCCTTAATTTGTCAAAGAAAAAATTCAACTGAAAGTTTCAGGGCTTGAAGACAAGGTAGTATTAGAATATTCAGACAATTAAAAAAAAGGAATCAACAAAAAGATTACCAAAGAGCTCTTGAACAATTCCAAAGAAACAAATTTAAGATTCATTAGCCTAAATGAGGGTGAGGAAGTATAGGCTTATGGTACAGAAAACCTATTCATTGAAGTTATAGCAGAAAATTTCCCAAACCCGGAGAATGAGGTGGATATCTAGTTACCAGAGGCATTTAGAACCTCAAACAGACATGACCAGAAAAGAACCCCTCCACAACAGTACAAACTACTAAAAATTCAGAACAAAGAAGGAATCCTAAAAGCTATTAGAGGTCACTGTGTTTGCTCTTGGATGGTGGCCCACCCTCACACTGTAGGGTATACTTCTTTTCCTACTTTTATGTGGCCCAAATTGCTCTGCAGAGCCTGTTTCATTTCCTACCTTTAATAAAACTTTGCTACTGTTAAAAAAAAAAAAAGCTGTTAGAGATAATATCAAATCACTTACAAGGGCAAGCCCATCAGAGTAACAGAAGAGTTCTCAGAAACTCAAAAGGCTAGGAGGGCTTGGAACGTTGTATTTCAAGCCCTGAAAGAAAATAACTGCCAACCAACTATTACTCCACCTTGCAAGGTTATTCTCTAAATCAAAGGAGAAATCAAAACCTTCCAAGATAAGTACAAAGTTGAGAAACTGATGACCACTAAGCCAGTACTGCATAAAATGACAACCATGAGACCAAGAGAATGAATATATATCTGGGAATGTGAATCACGAATGAATCAAACACTAGAAAGACAAAAATATGGCAGGAATTAGTACATACCTTTCAATAACAGCACTTAACATAAATGGTCTTAATTTACCAATTAAAGACAGACAGACTGGGAAACTGGATTAAAAAACAAGACCCATCTATATTGCCTGTGCGAAACACACCTCATCTTCAAAGACATACTGGCTGAAAGTCAAAGAATGGAAAAATGATAATCCAAATAGCAGTAGCTATACTTATATCACACAAAGTAAACTTCAAACTAAAATTGTCAGAAGAAGAAAAGAATGCCATTATTAATAAAGAGAACAATTTACTGAAGAGAAATAACATTTGTAAATATTTATGCCCAGAATATTATCACACACTCAATTTCATAAATAAACACTACTTAACATAAAGGGATCACACAGTCTCCAATACAATCATAGTGGGTGACTTCAAAACCAGTCTCTGATATGTCAGCCAGACCAAAAAACAAAAACAAAAACAAAAAACCCCCAAAACAAAAAACAAAACAAAAATCAGAGTTAAATCTATACCAAATGGACTCAACAGACATGTATAAAGTGTTCCATTCAATAATAAAACATACACTCTTTTAAAAAGCCAATGGAACTTTCTCCAAAATAGACCATATTTAACCCATCAAGCAAGTGCTAATAAATACAATAAAAATGAAACAATCTCATTCATTCTATCAGATCAATGGAATTAAGCTAAACATCAACAGAAGAAATTACAGAAACCCCAATCAAGCAGAAGGAAGGAAATAATAAAGATGAGTAGAAGTTAAAGAAATAGAGCCTACAAGAATATATGGGATCAATGAATCAAATAGTTTGTTCTTTGAAGAGATAAACAAGATTGATAAACCTTAGCCAAAGGTACCAAAAGAGAGAAGATCCAAATTAATAAAATTAAAGATGAAAAGGGTGAATTAGACACCAATGAAATCCAGAGGATTATTGGAAACCATTTTTTAAAGTTATATTCCAATAAATTAGAGAATCTAGAAGAAACAGATAAATTCCTAGACATATATAATCTACCACAATTTAACCAAGACATAAAAACTTTAAATAGATAAGTAACAATGAGACTGAAGCAGTACCAAAAACTCTCCCAACTAAGAAAAGCCTAGTATCCAATAAATTTACTGCTGATTTTTACCAGAATTTTAAAGAGGAAGAACAAAAATGCTCTCCAAACATTTTTATAAAATTTAGAAATGTTAGGAATGCTTCCAAATTCATTCTACAAAGTCAGCATTTCCTCAATACCACATCCAACAACAACAACAAAAAGACCAATATCCTTGACAAACAGAGATGCAAAAATCCTCTGTAAGATTCTTGTAAACAGATTTGCCAATCAAGCTCTTATTACAGCATTCTAAGGCTTCTCTAGCTTGCTTCTCCAAACTTTTCTCAACTCCTCCCACAAGGCAGTCCCAAAGGATTCTAAACCACAAGGTCAGGTATAGTCACAGCACTGAAATCATTTTCATTTCAATTACAAATAAAATTGGTACCAATTTTCTGTATTAGTCAGCTTTCCTGTTGCTGGGGCAAAATACTTGACACCCACAACTTAAGAAAAGGAAGATGTTTCCAGGGATTCAGTACATGGTCTGCTGATTCTGAGACATAAATATCACGGTGGAAGGGGATGGCTGAGCAATGCTGCTTAGTTAATGGTAGCCAGGAAACAGAGCAGGGGAGCAGTGTCAGAGAGGAAGGGGCAAGGGACTAGATATAATAGCTAAGGTCATGCCTCTGTGACCAATGGGAACACAACCAGGCTTTACTAATCCCCTGGGCAGCTCCCAAGACAATCAAGTTGACACAATTAAGCTTAACCACCACAGAACTGGCACAAAAACAGATGTGTAGACTATTGGAATAGAGCAGAAGGAACAGGCACAAGCCCATGTACCTATAGCAATCTGATATTTGACAAATGGGTGGAAAGCGTACATTGAAGAAAAGACACCCATTTTAACAAATGGTAATGGAAAACCTGGATATTTACGAGCAGAGGATTGAAATTGGATCCCTACCTGTCATCCTATACTAAGTTGAAATCGAAGCCTGAAAACACTGAAAATGTTGGAAGAAATTGCAGGGGAAACACTTGAAGACATAGGCACATGCAAAGACTTTCTGAATAGGACATCAATAGCTCAGCAATTATCATCATCACATGGGACTATATCAAATGGAGAAACTTCTGCCCTGCAAAGCACACAATCAAAAGTAAAGAGACAGCTACAGAAAGGGGGAAAATCTTTGCTAGCTATTCTTCTGATGGAGTATTAATATCTATAATATATAAAGAACCAAAAAAAACCCCACCCTAAAAATCCTAAATAGCCCAATCAATAAATGGGCAAATGAATTAAACAAAGACTTTTCAAAAGAAGTCATCAAAATGGTCAAGAGTCCATGAAAAACTGTTCCACATCTTTAGCTACTGTGGAAATACAAATCAAAACTACACTGAGATTCCACTATCATCAAGGATACAAGAAACAGTGAATGCTGGCGAGGAAGTGGGAGGAAAAGCAACCCAGGAAAACAAAAGAAAGTGATGTGAACACAAGTGATTATCTTCTTTCAGTCCTGACCCTCAACTTTTCTTCCTATTTGCTAATAAGCAAGGGCTTACTTCCATTTTCCATCCTCTAAAAAATATGATTTCTACACATTTACTTACCACAATAAAATAAAAGATTTAAAATTTACATTTTTAAAGTGAAACAAAGCCATTTTACAATCTAAGCATTTATAATACTTTTTTTCTGTAGTCCTTCTGTTCCCTCAGTCTTTCCCATCAAATGGTATCATTCTAAGTCTTACCTCTGTTTTTTCGGTCACTTCATTTTCTGTCATAAGGTCTGCTAAAGCATAGACAAATCCAAGATCTAACCTGAGATCCATTTCTTGAATCAATACTTTGAAATACCTATGTTATAAAGTAGAAAACAATAAAAAATCATTAACTGCACTAAGAAAGTTATATGAGAAAAAAGTATTTGTATATATTATAACTTTGAATCTTAGGATTCTTAGATAAAGAAATAAAAAACACATCATGACACCATTGTTTATAAATAAACAACCTCTACATAGAAAAATGGCCATAGAGAAATGGATAAGTAAGCTATGGTATACAATAATACACCAGCACATTATATATCAGTGGTAATGAATAAATCATAGCTACATACAACAAAATCAATACATTTTTAGTATAAATTTTAATTTAAAAAGCACGTTACTGGAGTTTATAGTTTGATACAATTTTTAGAAAATCAGAAAAAAATGAAAACTATAAAGCACTGAGGTACACATACACAATACAAGTGTATTTTGAAAAGCAAGGAAATACAGACAGTTCGTCTCAGTGATAAGGGAAGAGGAATGAGATGGGCAGCATCATACAGATGGCATTTCCATTCACATTCCATTTCTTGAAATAAGTAGTGAGAGAATACAGAAATAATATTTTTATCCTTTTTTCTAAAACAATATATGGACATTACAGGCATTTTAAACACAAAAACAAATTGGTAAAAGAATTCATAAGAGTTAGCAATAACTGCTTAACATCTAGTTGTACTTCATTATAGATTTATCTTTGGCTTTTATAATTTAATACTGAATGGTTAAAACTTTGATTTATCTGTAATTTATAAAGAGTATAAATCATTTAAATATTTTACCAAAACATTAAATGAGCATGCAAGAAATGTATGAAAACACTTACTTAATACGTGATATCTGGGAATGTCCTGCAGATCTCATGACAATACTGACATCTGTAAATGGCTTTGGTGCTATAAAGGTTATAAATATGATTACTCTTATGGAGCTTTACACCAAAGTTAAGCACACTCTTCCAACTTAATATACATTTAAAAAAATGAAATCATTTACTAAATCAAGTTAATTAAAATTGCTGATATTTTGCAGGGTTCATTATAATCCTAATTTCTGACTCTACAACTATCTTTTAAAGTAGAAGTATGCATTAGAATCATCAGGGAAAGTTCGAAAACAGATTCTGGGGATCTGCGGTAGACCTGCAGGTAGAGGGGCTGACATCTACATAATGATTAAAAGCTTCCAAGCAAACTATGTAGAGGGCCTCAAACAGTTCAGAGTCCACAGTATGGACTCTGGGATAGGAAGTCAAGGAGGGAGAAAGTAAAGTAGGGCTGTAGGGAGCCAAGAGAAAGTGGGGAAGAGAGAGACATACAAGAAAGAAAAAAAGGTGAAGGAGAAAAGAGTAGAAGAAAGGCTGCCAAGTTATTCTCACCTGGAGAACACAGGACAGTTTCCCTTGTTAGAAAAGACTCTGAATTTGAACTTCCTCATTGTGTATTTAAAGGTCCTAACAGTCTTTACAGATTAGTAATCTGGTTTTCTTTTTGGGGGGGGGGGGTTGGTACCGTTGATCGAACTTGGGACCTTGCACTTACAAGGCAGGTGGCAGAACCACTGAGCTAAATCCCAGCCTAGTAATCTGGTTTTTAAATTAATATTTCTAAAATATAAAAAAAATGTGTGTATACTCATAATTCTTTTTTTCAGTATTCATTTGAAGATTTGCTGAAGTTAGTTGAATATTTGTTGGTCCTTTTTCAAGTAGTTTAATCTTCTAGTGATCCTACTGAAACTAAACCTGAGAATGGTTTCTTTTCATATTTTTATAGTAAAATAAACCAAGTGGCTAAGACAACTGTTTTTGTAATAATCTAAAAATAGAAACAAACCTGAGTCCATGGTGACAGACTTTGGAGGTCTAATAGGATAGAACACGAATGGAAAAATAGCACCATGAATCTGGTTTTGGATCTAAGGAAATAAAAAACAAGTTGGTATATAATGTATCAATTATACAACTTGACTCAAACAACAACATTTAATACAGGGAAGCAAAAAGTCTAGTCTACCACTAAAACTGAAGTATAAAGTGAATAGTCAGTGTGCTTCTCCAACTTCTCAGTGTATTTAACACCCTAACTTCCACCTTGCCTTCTTCTTTAGGCTTTGTATTAGAAAGAAACAGATCCTGGGACTACATCTGGTTCATGATTATGTTTTGTCTATATTTTTTTAGAAAAGCGTACCTGTATTCTGTAAATCTGAATTCTGAATGATGATTGATGTGCAGATGTGCTATATTCAACTTTTAATGCTGGAAGATAGTTTCTTCGGAGAGCCATTACATGTGGTTGCAGAATTTTCATGCTATTACCACTAGGTGTTAAGCGAACCTGGAAAAAAAAAAACATGGAATGTCTCTTTTCCATAACTGATTAAAATTAGAAATTTAAACCAAAAAGGTTTTTTAAATAATATTAATTATAACAGTAGGCTACATATCTCATTTGATTTACATTCAAATCTTAGATTTTTACGTTCCAAATCCATAAAATATTCATTTAACCCTGAAAGTTTAACTGTATCACCTTTTATATTTATTTACTAATGTTTACTGCACCAAAAAATAAAGCAAATGCTGGGGGTATAGTTTGGTCTTAGAGCACCTGCCTAGTATGTGCAAGATCCTGGGCTTGATCCCAGGAGGGAGAGGATGAGAAAAAGAAAGAAAAGTAACAAAAAATGCTAATTTTAAAAATGAAATTAATAAAGCAAAATTTTGATTTCTCATTAACTGAAAGAATAATCAACATCTAGTAACTTAAAGTTTGATTTCTCAAACATATGACCACACCTATAAAGGGATATTATACATTATGTAAGTTAAGATTAACCATGTTCAATTTGTTTTGTAAGGAAGCCTGATCTTCCCTAAACTTCACTAGGGATTCAAACTGTAACTGAAAAAAATTAAGGGCTGGGGATTTAGCTCAGTGGCACTGTCCCTGCCTCACAAGTGCAAGGTCTTGAGTTCAACCCCTGATACGAAAAATAAAATTAAAACTTCACATCAGTGCTTTAAAAATTTACCGAAATGCTGGTATCCAACTCAATAATCTTATCTTCTAAAGGTGAAGATTCAGTATATTCCTTAAATTCTTTTTCCAACTTCTCAGTGTGCTTCACACTCATTGGCTTCCATCTTGCCTTCTTCTTGTGCTTTGTCTCCCAAACTACATCAGAACTTATATATGAAAGCAAAAATCATAGTGCTAACATACAACAATTTTAAATGGTTTATTACATAAATTATAGTGTCCAATAAAATTCTGCATTAGTCTTAGTTACAAGCAAGCACATTATGAGTTTAAAAACATAAATTTATTCAACTAATACTTATTCAATTCCTATTCAGGTACTCTTCTAGTAAGAGAAACAGGAGTGAACATTTTTGACATTGTTGTTTGTTTTAGTTGGGAAGTGAGACAGTGCATAGTAAACATTTAGTCAATTTTAATGTATAAGAGGAGAAAATTCTTCGGAAAGAAGAAAATGTAACAGTGTACAGAGAACCCGGAGTCTTGGGATATGTTAAATGGTGGGGGATGTAGTATTATTAAAGTGAAGTGGTCAACAGAAGCCTCAACGAGAAGGTGAAATTTCATCCACCTAAAAGAATATGAGGGATGGTCTGGGGATTTAGCTCAGTGGTTGTACCGCCTGCTTTGCAAGCACAAGGACCCAAGTTCGATCCCCAGTACCACAAAAAAAAAAAGAAAAGAAAAAAGAATATGAGGGAGTTACGTAGTAGCTAAGGGGATAAGAACATTTTAGGTAAGCGATCAGCTTTAGCAGATAACATAAAGCAGCAGCACATCTGTAGTGCAGGAAGATAAGCAAGGAGGCTGGCACGGTAGGAACACATTAAGAGCAGAAGACGAAGTCAGTCAGTGGGCTGCCAATTAACGTAAAGCTTTGTAGGTCATTATAAAGGATCTGAGTTTTATTTCAAGTGAGCTGAGGAACTGCTGAAAGGTTGTAAGATGAGCAGTATGACCTGACTTAACACTTTGTCAAGAATACACTGTGTATCTGAGTGTGGGGATAGAAAAAGGAGTCAAAGCTACAAACAAGACAACTTTTGGGGAGTTAATGCAGTAAGTCAGTTAAGAAATGGTGATGGGTCTGACTTGGGTGTTAACACTAAATTAATAAAAAGTAGTCAGATTCTATGTGTATTCTGAAGGTAGTTCCAGCACAGAACTTCTAGATGAAATAGATATAAGGTGTGAAATAAAGAGAGGACTCAAAGATAACTCCAAAGTCTTTGGCCTGAAAAACTAGAAAGGGTGGGCCATGAGTAATTCCTATGAGGAAGCAGGTTTCAGCAGGAGAAGGAAATAAGGAGTTTGGTGTTAATGCATGCAAAATTTAAGTTATCGCCTAGATACCTGAGCAGATTTTATGGAGGCAGTTAGATATCCAAATTTAGAGTTCAGAAAGTAGGTTTGGCTGAAGATAGATGCATATGAATAAATTATGGTAATGAAAAATGAAATAGACAAGAGCAGGTCTTAGAGCCTCAAAGTATCCAATGTGAGAAACTGAGAGGCTGAAAAGGAACCAATGAGTCTGAGAATTTTTGAGGTAGGAAGAAAAACGAAGATGGTGAGGTATGCTTAAAGAAACTGTAACAAGAGAAGATCTGTTAAATGTTATCAAGTAAATTGAGAACTGATAATTCCACTGGATTTGGCATTATAGAAGTCAATGGTAATCTTCCCAAGGCAAGTATTAGGACACATTGAAAACTAAACATTGCAGTGGCTAAATCAGAAATGGATGAAGGTGTGTTGGAGATACTGAAAATATTAAACTCTTCTGAAATGACATTTCTGAGGACCTTGGATATAAAGAAAGAAACTGATAGTAGGTAGAGAGAAGTGGTCTCAGAAATATATTTTGTGATTTTTCTTAGGTTGAGAGAAGTTAACACTGATGGCAACAAATCAGTAGAGAGGCAGAAGTTGTAGACTTAGGACAAAAAGAGGAGGGTTGATGAATAAATGTCCTCACATAGGTAACAGTGAATGAAATATAGTGCAAACGTAGAAAAAAGTGTTAAAAAGGAAGCACCTAAGATGTGTCTATGAAAACTCTGAGAAATGTGTTCGTTATTGATGCTTGTAGGTAGGAAGTTACGATACTGAGGGATGAGGTAGCTCTAGACAAGTTTGCTTTTTATGGCTTAACTTTTCTTAGTGATGCTGGGTAGTGAGCTGAGAGAGAATGGGGTTTGAGCACAGGCAAAACAAAAAAAGCCAAGGAAAGAAGTTATGAATAAAAGATATCTAGCTGTACTAAAATTAAAATGTTTAAAGACCTAACAACGGGCTGGGGAGGTGGCTCAGTGGTAGAGCACTTCCCTGGTAAGCTCTGGGTTCAATTCCCAGCAGTGGACAAAAATAAATCTTATTAAATAAAAAAGTATATTGTTGAAAATTACTTTTAATATTTAAATTATTTAATTTTATTTAAGTATTTGTTTATTCTTTCTAAAATTTATATTTAGTTAATAAATAGAAAGGTAGAGATCATGTGTTGGTTATCTTTGCATTCATATCATTTACCGTAGGCGATAACACATAATAGGAACGACAGCATTTAAAAATCTGGTATCTGACCTTTTTAGTTAATAAAAATTTACATTTTTGAGAATGATACAAATTGTTTTTAATGCTCCTCAATGATACAAATTGTTTTTAATGCTCCTCTTAAAATGATATTCTGTTCAATAAGAGGTCAGCACTATTAATTTACACAGAACCTAAATTTAAATCAGTAGCATATATTTTTAATATTATTGTGGAGTTTATCTCAAGAAAAGAATTAAAACTACACTGCTGTGATTATATAGACTATAAGAATGCTCTCATACTAGGCATTAATGTGTGTGTATACATTTCAATTTAAGTGTTTATGAACAGAAATGTTAAAGGCTTAAGAGATAAGAGCTTGTGAAATTATAAATACAGTATTACCTTACCAGATCTGAAAATGCCAAGTTCAAAATTAGAAGTGATTATCTTTAATCCTCCAACAACTATTTATGAAGCATCTACTATGTACCCTACACTGTTAGAGATGGTAACAGGCAATTTTAAATGACATGTTGAATAAAGAATACTTTCGTTAAGTTAAATAAATTTAAATTTTGACTGAGAAAATTAAAAAGATAGTAAGAGATTTAAAGATTTCTGACATTTTTATCTCAAAAAGGGAAAGAACCCTCAAATGTATTTGTAAATTAGAATTACCTTAGTACTGATGAATAGCCAAAAACCAAAAACTGAATAAATCATAATTTCTTGATGATTAAGAACTGATTAAATTTGCCCAAAACCAAACACATCTAACCTCGTAATGCCTATGTAGGCCACTTCTTGCTTTGTGTAATTGTTGACAAGAGAAATTCCAACATCTTGTAATGCCAGTGTAATTTCTTGCTCTGCTAACTCTGCTTTCTCACTTTCATATGTTGCTTTAAACACCTTTGAATCTTCAGTGAATAAAATAATGCGTTGCAGGCCTTCGAAGAATGAAACTAAATAAATGGTCTTCTTTCCTAAATTTATAGCTGTCATCATATCCTAGAAGAAAATTGCCAAAAAAAAAAAATTAGAGTTTGGTCCCAGCCAATATGAAGTCTAGATTCCATATTTACAAAATGAAAATATTAATAGCAACTATTTTACAGAACTGAGCTGGCAACTAAATGAATTAATATTTGTAAGATAGTTGGAAATGTGAAGTAATCATTGATTTTTAGCTACTTTATAGATTAATGACAAATAATTGAATTAATATTTCTATAATATCTGGGTATTTATTTCACTGGACCCATTTAATGTTAATTACCAATATATTTTAAGTTAGTAATCAGGAAGATAGGGCAATTGTTTAACTGCTTTAATATCTTAATAAAATCTAAATAACTTTCCTTTACAGGTTAGTCAGTAACATAAAGTATTATCTTCTTTGTTTCATTCTAAGTCTACAGAAAGGTACTATGTGTTTAAAGTTGTTTCACAAACTCTGTGTGGTGGTGCATATCTGTAATCCCAACATTCTGGGAGCCTGGGGAACGAGGATCTTAAGTTTGAGCCTAACCTGGGCAACTTAACAAGACCCTGCCTCAAAACAAAAAATTGAAAAAGAGCTGAGTGTATAGCTCAGTGCAAAGACCTTGGGTTCAATCCTCAGTACTGAAAAGAAAAGAACAAAGAAAAAGAAAGGAAAGGACAGGACAGGTCAGGACAGGTCAGACAGGACAGAACAAAAGTTGTTTCAGGCTGAAATTCCTATTTCCTTACACAGCTGAATGAGGCAAGATAAAAAAAAAAATCTGATGTCTCTACGTATTCTATAAAGCAGTGATATTCACCACTGGTTAATTTAGCAGAAAGCCATTCTATAATCAGAGTATCAGGGTTTTGAATTTCAATGACAAGTTACTTGCAGTAAATTCTAGTAATTCAGAGTCAACCATGAAGACAATGGAAAAACACCATCAATGTGCCAATAGAAACTAAGAACCCAAAAGTCCTTACTAGCAAAAACATCTTCAATTTTCAGTGAAGAAAAGTACACAAAACAAAATGCTTACAGACTACTAACATTCACCTCCAACAGAGACTGACTTAAGGATATTCTACAGAAGGCATTACCCAGTAGCAAAAGAAAGTGACCCAAGATACAGGTCTGAGGCAAAAGAAAAATGTTATGCAAATAAAATAGCACCTATGTAAGGAAAAGCAATTTATAAAATTCAATATCCAGCTGCAATAAAAACTTTTGGCAAACAAAGATTAAATGAGAAGATTTTAAAATTTTTCGTTTGTTTGTTTGGGGTTTTTTTTGATACTGGAGATCCAACTCAGGTCCTTGTGTTTACAGGGCAGGCAGTGGAACCACTGAGCTAAATTCCAAGTTTTTAAATTTTTTATACAACTCTTTCTGAAAAAAAAATTTAGTAAAGCTCATAACATGAAATGTTGGAGGCATCAAATATAAGATCAGAAAATTAAGGCAAAAATATATCTGAAGTCATCATTTTTATTCAACAATAAAGATCCTAGCCAGTTGAATAAGGAAAAGAAAAAGGAAAATGAAAGAAATGAAAGAAAATAAAGCTTTTTATTATTTGTGTTCTTTCCACACAGAAAAATTTACAGAAATATTTAATATTAATAAAAAAAGCTCACTGAGTCTGATTTTTAAAAATTTTGAGTTTCTGGGTTGGCAACTGATGAGAGACATCTTTCCTCTCTTGCTCAGGAAAAAGAAAGCTACACAAAACATAAAAAGTAAAACACGTCTAAAAGGCTAGAAAAGCTGTGAAGTCAGTAAGGATGGGACTAAAGAGGAAGCTCCCCAACTCCATCCAGGCTCCTAGTGAAGCTCAGCCGGTCCCAGCACCCAGAAGGAAGCTCCCCCGCCTCCATCCCAGGCTCCTAGGGCCAAGAAGGTGAGCCGGTCCCAGCACTCGGAAAGAAGCTCCCCGCCTCCATCCCAGGCTCCTAGGGCAGTGAAGCTCAGTGGGTCCCAGCACCCGGAAGGAAGCTCTTCCACCGCCATCCCAAGCTCCTAGGGCAGAGGTGAGCCGCGTGGGTGCCAGAAGCACCCCCCGCCCCGCCCCCGCGTAAATGACAAGACACATAAGCCTCAAAAACAGACTTCCAGATCACCTATAGCAACCCCAAAGGGAAACAAGATGGAACACTCAGATACTCAACCACCTGGACTCTCCGAACTGGCAATAAAACAGGATCTGGGAAAAATGAAATCAGAAATAATTACTCAGGTAACAGCAAAGATTTTGCTCATGGTGCAAGACATGATTAATAAATCTAGAGAAATC